TAGGAGAGGTGCTCCAGCCCTCGGATCATCCTCGTGGCCTCCTCTGGACTCGTTCTAACAGTTACATGTCCTTCTTGTGTTGGGGGCTTCAGAACTGGACACAGCACTCCAGGTGGGCCCTTACAAGAGCAGAGTAGAGGGGGAGAATCACCTCCCTCGACCTGCTGGACACGCTTCTCTTGATGCAGCCCAGGATACAGTTAGCCTTCTGGGCTGCAAGCGCACATTGTCTGCTCGTGTTCAGCTTCTCATTCACCACCACTCCCAAGTCCTTCTCTTCAGAGCTGGTCTCAAGCCATTCATTACCCAGCCTGTATTTGTGCCTGGGGTTGCCCCGACCCAGATGCAGGACCTTGCATTTGGCGTTGTTGAACTTCATGAGGTTAGCAACGGCCCACCTCTCAGCCTGTCAAGGTCCCTCTGGATGGCATCCCATCCTTCGAGTGTGTCAACTGCACCACTCAGCTTGGTGTCATAGGCAAACTTGCTTCTAGATACCTGAATGATGACACCCATAGTATTTGCTTAAAGCAGTAAAAATACTGACATGCTCTACAGCAGAAAAATGCATATGTTCCTCATACACCCAGCCTCCTTATTTTCAGCATGAAACCACCACAAAATCAGGACCAAGGCCATTGGCTTGCCTTTGATGGATTACTGAAAATTTGAAAATTATTGAGAATAATCAAAGGCTGTGTTTGCTGATACATATTAAAATGAATATACTATTTCAACTGCAGTATGAAGCAATACAGACCAACAAGACATTCAACTATAGATTCAGTTAAGAGCTTTAATCATAGCACAGACAGGAGAGAATACAGTGTTCTGAGTTTCCTCCTCAAAAGATAAAAAAATACTTTGTAAGTATTTTACAAATTTACAAATTGTAAATTTTCATTTTATAAACAATATATAAATGTTTTTCACTGCAAAACATATAATACATTTCTATGTTACAACTGTTGCCTTATTTTAGAATTACGTATTCCCTGAACTGTTCTTAGAAAACAGGAGAGTATAGTAAATCCAAAAGTATAATAAATATATTGCTAACTAGGGGGGTAAATGCTGAAGAAAATTATTCAAAACATCCAGTTCTTTTACCCGTCAGATTGCTAACCTAAATGGATTACTCACATGAATTATATTAACAAGAATAATGTTTTGGGTGTCAGACCTCAAAGCAAGATTGAACAATACAGTCAGTCAAATCTCCATGCTTTGAAGATGATGGTACCATCATGCTTTGCTGCCAACCTAGAAAGCAAATAAGCCACTTTGGCATTTTCAGTCGATTAACTCTCATCTTCAGAATTAACGGTAAGAGAGAAAACACTCTTTATAGACAAAAATAAGAGATTAAGGTATTAGTTATTGATATTTATCCAGAAAAGAAAAGTACAGTGCTCAGAATACAGTTCATATTTTACCTCAGACAGGCAATATATAGAAGTCTTTATGTGTTATCTGATAGCCTAGTACCAGCTTTTGGTCGTCACCATCATCCTCTCTACTTGCCGCATTCCATCTCTTGCTGAATTAGATTTGTCGCAGACATTTAACAAATAATTCTTCTCCAGAGGCCAGAAGACTTGCTGAAAAAACCCTCACAAAGCACTCCAGTAACTTGTGTTGAGAAATCTGGGGAAAGTCTGAGGAGCACTTTGACTTGTGGAATTACTACCAAAAAAATTAGGAACTTCGAATGAGGAATAGAGAGTGGTGCAACAGGAAAAGTACCAATAAAGCTTTAATGAAAAAAAATACTTGCTGAATATTTTTCAATCTCACTGTACTATGCTCTCGCTCAGCTGGGTCAATCTGCTTGACAGTCTTAAGTCCTGCAAGGAAGGAGATACACAGAATGCACAGGAGAAACCAAGATCCATACCTTACAGCCACACACACACTAGTAACTGACCCAGTTCATTTTGTGGCACTGACTTAAACAGGGACTCTGTTCTCCTTGGCCCACTTTTTCATGATGCGGACAACATATTCTACTTGAGAATTACTGGTGCTCTTCAGAAGATGCAATACTTCCTGTAGAGTCTGTCTACAAAGGTGAGAAGCAAAGATTTAAATGAGGGTGAGACCCAACTACCCACATCCAAGCTATTTTGAAAAACAGGGTTCCTAGACAGAGAGGTCCATTCATCTGCAGAGCAGGAATAGGTAGATTAGATCCCAGGCAACAAAAAAACCACAAAAAACCCCAACAATATCAAAAAAGTCTTGTATACAATTGCAATGAGGAGAGGAATTAAAAGTAAAAACTAGAACAAAACGTAATTAGTTTGGAGTTTACTGCATGCACGTCTGTGTATTTATATATAAATCCTCACCCTTGCAAAACAGTTCCCCAGAATAAAAACTTTTTTCTTTAATGCTACTTGTGAGTCTTCAGTATGGCAACATCAAGCTTAATGCTGCCAAAGCACCTTACACATACACACAAATAACATGGAAATGAACATTGCCAATAGGATAAACCAGTATGAAGCTGCAGTTTGCCAGCTACTTTACAGCCAGAACTTGTATGCATATTGAAAAACTGGCAAGTTACGTGTATTTTACTGCATCTACTGCAGTAATTGCTAAAAGGACACTTGAAGGGTACAGCAGTAATGAGATTATTCCAGCAGAGAAGGGATTACAAGGAAGATGTAGAAGCCAAGTTACACACCTACCAGTCATGTACAAACCAGCAACTCTGGCCAGGGGAGGATGGCCATCTGGTATTACAGCAGAATATTCACAAGGGAACAGTTCTTAAATGCAGCCTCACTACTCTCTCTCTTTCTCCCATCCAGTGAAATGGGCTCAAAGTAAAATTATCAGTAACACTGATAACTTCCTTTAAGCTTTCATCAGGTAAGTACAGTTGTCTGAGGTAGACAGTGTCTTCAAAAAGCAAATTTTAGTGAAAACACAGTCCCATCTACTAACTGTTTAGGGAAATCATGGCCTTCCTACAGCACTGAGTAAATGTTTCCTTAGTTCTGTTCTATGAACCTTAAAATGTCATGGGACAGTTTTCCATTCCTACACCATCATCATGAAATGAGGTTCTTTTCCCTCAGTTCATGAACATACTACATTTATAATTTAGCTCTTCCTAGTATAATGACTAATGCACTTTGGTTTCCTACAGTTCATAGCATTCACTGATCAAGTTATATTCACCGTATATTCTGTAACTGTTGGAAGATACACTTCAAATTGAACACTGCATACGGAACCACTGGCCAGAGCGTCTATTTCTTAAAGGACAATAAAGAATTGGAAGAGGATATATAGTCCTAAAGCTAAGATTATGATTCTGGCTTACAGCTAACTGGAAATAGGAAAAGAGTAATATGAATTTGGACACAGCACCGTATACTCACTTTGCCTCTCGGCCAGCTAAGATCATTTGGAAGACACCCACACATGCACCTCTCTTGCCTTCCCAGTATTCAGGATTACTGTCCAGTCTTTCCAGAACATCAAATGCTTTGGCTGAATAGTAAAACTGACCCATCTGCACAGAAAGTGAAACATTATTCCTGACTGTATGGTATATGACCATCTTTCAGAAAGGCATTAAAAATTCTCAGTTCAGTTTTCTGAAATCAGCAGCAGAGAAGCAAAATGCATTTTCCTCTTTTTCTGCAAGCAGCAAGTGTCACCAAACAGGCACATTTCAGTTCTACACAGGGAAACGTGGTACTATAATATTACTGGTCTATGCTTTTGACTGTATTATAGACAAACTGCACTGTGAACTTCATTAGCTGGCAACGATCAGCATTGTTGTTTTGATCACATACAGATAACACTAGCTTACATAACTTCTTTTTTATGAGGTGCCCTATCTAGTGCTTTACTGACTATACCAAAATCCTTGATAGAATATCAGCTTCAAACTAGTCCAAACATTTGAAAACAGCTACATCTAGTCGCAGGACATTGTTGACCTTGCTCCATCCATGTTAATTCAGCATTCTGTTAAGGGAAGCCTAGTGTGACTGCCTTAAGTTACAGCTACGGTGCTGTTTGTGGATCTCCAATATAATGTTTCAGAAACAGTTGGAAAATGCTGCATAAACTCAAACAACATGGGCCTCGCCATTTAGTGGAAGAGGTACAAACAGCTGGTAGTGTAGGAAGATAAGTTACAATACTACAGTAATCATTTTTGAAATGAAATTCCTTGGTCTTTGGAGCAAGTTATTTATTGCCATATGTAGACACATAATCAGGCTGAAAAATTTAGTCCTGTAAGTGCAGTTTTTAAGAGCTCTAGATAAATCCAAAGTGTGGAGCTGCTTCTCCTCTAGAGTACAATAAGGTTTTGAGAATAATTTAGGCAGAGTAATCAACTGGTTTAAGTGAGACTTAAAATGGTCTAGAGAGATATTTTACATGAGGTGTGATTGTCAACTTGCTTTCACAAATTGCAGCTACGGGAAACACCAGAGGCATAGCCGCTTGCTTGAGCAACAAGACTTTTAGGGTGAGATGGTGGACGGAATACTTGAAAAGTGTGTAAGAGATAATTAGCTCAGTTTTAGAAGAATGCTTTTGAGATCACAAGGTAGATTTGCTGAATTTCAGTTATGTCTTTGTTACGATTTGGAGAACATGTTACTTTGTCAGATGAAAGAAAACAGCAAAAAAGAATGTTACAGATATGGATATGTGGATATTGTTGCTCTTTGGAGAGCCTGGCTGAACTGAGAATCACTAGGAGGTTTTCCACTAGGACTTAGTTTACCAACCTTCCTCTAAGCTTGGTCACTGTATCTCTAATAAGCCTATGCTAATTGCTGCTGCCTCTTGTGTATTCACTCGCATTAGGCTCTACTGAGCCAGATCCGTGAGCTCTACACCTATATTATCTGTGTTCTGCTCTTCTCACATCTGCCTTCTTAAAACAGTGAACTACTGTAATTGCATAATCACAAAATTACAATCTATCTTTATATTCTATATTTAATTTAAGTTAAATCTAAAACAGTTGCTCCCCAAATAACTTCAGTCCACCTTCTGATATAATAAGCTCTGGCCAATACATTCTGAAAATTGGATGGCCTGCGTCTCACCATGACACTTTTCCAAAGAACATCCTTTTCTCTTGTCACTGAGCTGCTACTCCTCTAGGTCCCAACACAGTGCAATCATCCTTGTAGATGGCAGAGAGGATGCCGGATACAGCATTCTATTATTGTCTACGGAAGTCTTGCCCAGCAGTACTCTGCACAGGACAACCAATTTTCCTTTCTCTTATAGTGCCATTTACAATCCTCTCAAACAAGTTTTCTTTATATGCCCTCTATATCCATCCTGTGGATGAAGCTCTCAGGTTTTTTTTACATGCTTTGCAGAACAGCAAAAAAACTTGAATCAGAGCTAAGTCTCACTGTGTATAGACACCATCTGAAGAATTAGATGTTAGGAATTTAGGCAGAATTGTAATCAGCTCCCCAAGAGCTCTTCACTATTAACATAGCTTTGTACAAACTAGAATTTGGAGGTGTGTCAGCAGTGTATTAGCATGGAGCATCAGAACTCGTAAACACAATCTAGGAGCTTAGTACAAATAAGGTAGCATATATTCTAACTTGTTCTAAAGTGCCCAGAGCATCCTTACTGAAGTGGACATTGTCCTGTCTAGGTTGACTTTTAAAAATGCTAGACAGCTTAGTCTAACCTCATCTCTTTAAAAGTCTCCTCTATAAAAGGTTCGAAAGAAGAACTATTATGTTTCAGCAGGGATCCCCCTGTAGGCAGTTAAGCTCACCGTTTTTTCTGAGTAGTTTTTTTCCTAATGACTACACATACACTGTGTCTCTTTGCCCCACTTGGGCAGATAGAATAGTAGTTGTGGAATTCTCTTTCCATTTCCTTATGATTAACAAAGGAGTATCTCCCATTGCCATTGCAAGCTTGAAGAAAAAAATAAAACTGTCCCAGAAGAAAATGCAGCATGAGGCTCCTTGCTGAATCTATGCTATTTTTTTTTCCTTAGAAGTTTCTTGTCATTTCTACCAACAAAGAATCCCTAGTAGGAGAAGAAACTGTTATAATTATTGATAGCTCAAGCATGAAGTAATTTACCAACATTTTAATCAGTGGGTTGCCTACTAAGAAGGCCCTGTAGGTTAAAATACTGACTAATCCTTGCCAACTCATCTACCATCCCGCTGTTATAAAAGAAAGTTCACTAGTAATGACAGTGATGGAAAGTATGTTAAAAAAAAAGGCTGTTGGTACAATCACTCAATTAACATGCCATACACCAAGTTTTAAAGAGAAGACTCACTCTGTAGCAATCATTTGCAATGAGCTGCAAAAGGTTAAAGGACTCCCCTGAGGTCTCCATCTTCAGATAGAGCTTCCAGGCCAACTGTGGTTTCTTATTGATAATATCTGCAATAACACCAAAAAGCTGGGATTGTAAAAAGAACATGCCATGCACAATAATCAATGGCAGGTGGAATAAATGTTTCTCAATTTCTTTGCTTAATGTAAATGCATGCCTTAGCCTGTGAGTATGGGGTTGGGAAGGGAAACTAGTCCTTCTGCCTTACTAGTGATAACAGCAATTCAGAGAATACCAACATCAAGAGGAAAAATTATGGTGTTAACATCTCAACTTACATTTCACAGATAGAGCAATAAGCACAACTCTCCAGATTTCAGATGTGATTAAGGAACAGAATGGAAAGCATTAGAGAAGTTATTTGATTCAGGACAACAGACTGTGGCAATCCATTTAGATGGTGAGATTTAGGATTATGTGTTTTTATAGACAGAAAAAAATGAACTGGCACTGAACTGAGGTCTTTAGTACTTGGTGCCCACCTCAATCTAAACATTCAATTCCCATGAATCCTAGCAAACCAAAAGGGGCAGATGGCATGAAGCCCCTCCAAGCATAACAAAACTTGTCATTATACATCTACTAGAAAAAAGTGTTTCCCAATGCCCGAGATTTTATGCTGGTTTTAAATTTGCCTAAAACTTTTCATTGGCCTTTAACTGTAAACATCACTGCTATACACAATTAGAAATAAAAGAATCTGAATCTTCTATCTCAGGTAGTGGAAATTCGACTAGGGAGTTTGCACATAAAGAATTCTAAAATTTTATCTTCTGGAGATAAGAACCCATTCTGTTGAATCTGAGGTTGATATTGGTAATTGCAGACTCATGCAAGTACTGGGAGAAAAGAAAATAAAACTGAGTATTCCTTTCTTTTTCAAGTCTTACCAGCTGCTCACAGAGTAGCTGGCTGTTCACACATGGGCCACTCTTGTGCTCTTTCAAAAGAGAGACTGTTTAGCTTATTATATCTGTGCCCACTGTGCCAATATATATGTTGCAGGTAGAATGGGTGGTAATATCAACAATAAACATGTAACATCGAATCACAGAATTTATAGACACTTCTCATTTAGGAGGCAGCAAGACATCAATTCAGATTTTTCTTTCATCAGCTCCAGATACCATACACAGTGGCAAACAACCAGGTCTTAATTTCCAAATATCTACCCAATCGTCTAGGGAAATGGAACACTGTGCTAATTCAATTTTTTTTACCGTCTCTTCAAGAAGAATTTGGTATAAATAGCACAATATTAAACAAAAAAATAATGTCTACCATCCAAAAAGAGGTATTTCTTGTACTTTTTGCCCTTTGGAAATATTTCAGCATTGAACTGTTTACAACTCAATACCTAATCATACTCTGACATGAACGTATTATAATGCTTTGTAATTTCTACAGCAGTTTTTATCCAGAAGGATCTAATAGTAATTTACATACTTGATACAAAAAGATAAGTATAGTCAGCACTGAACAGTTGCTTCTGCGAAGAATTCTAGCAGCTGTTTGGGAATGAAAAAATCAAAATTTTAAGACAGACAGAAAAATACAGAACCTCTGCTGAAACTTCACAGAAATTCAGAATTGCAAAAGGCATACTCGAGAATAAATAGCAAATCTTATGAAAAAGCTAGAAAATTTTTATTCGATAACATAGTGTTGATTCTACTTCTTATATAATAAGTAGCACCTTTAAAGAGTTCTGCATCTCCAGATGTAGGTAAAAGAACTAATATAGCACAGAATCAAAGAGATGAACACTGTCTTCTGAACAACTATGATTTCTCTTTGCAATGGGAGTTCTCCCATCAAAAAAATTAACAAAAACCATTCACATATAAAACACTCAAACACAAGGTACTGCAGCTTAATGAAAAAGGAAATTAACTGGCATGTCCTAAAAGAGAGTCATAGATAGGCATATGTGTGATATCCATATGATATATCCATAGATATCCATATGTGTGATATGTCAGTCCAGAAAGATCATATTAGAGATGCTGACCGCTATGTATATCGCTGTATGCGATATAGCATCATGTCCCAAAACAAATGTACTTACATTCCAAGTACAACTATTGAAAATTGTTTGATAAGAGAACATTTTTGTATTGAGGCACTGTAAGGAAAACAGATCAGCCTAGGGAGTCTCAGGCTTGAGTAATAAGAAAACCTCACTTCTGTACTATTTTGCATGTGGCGTTGCAGCTGTATCTGTACTGAGGTGTACTCTGCAGTGTTTTAAAAACTGTCTTGAAAATACTAAATAAAATTTGCTATAGCATATTAAACATGTTTCAAGGGAAGAATGGAAAAGTTTATGAAAAAAAACCCCCATGATGGAGATTATAAAGGACATCACTTAGGCACAGAAATATGGACAACACGAAGAGTAACACAGTAGGAAGAAAAATATTTATGCTTCCCTGATTCTTCTCTTCCCTAGACATCTGACATTGGCTGCTCTTGGAGTTAGACAGACCCTTGGGCCCGACCCAGGTATGAATGCTTCTATTTTATGTTTTACTCTAAACGTTTTAGAGTTGTAACTCAGTCTTTTAAGACAGAAAATCTTTACTCAAGCAACTGAGTAGATAATTGAGAAGAGAAATTTTCACTGGTTAGGACAAAACTGCACTGACGGAACTGTAACAGTGCTGCACTGAAGCAGTCATTGCTTACTAAAGCCAGATGTATGAAAGGTGCAATAACCACCCACGCTACAACTGGCGCAATCAGCTTTTCAGTTTCACAGTCCTGAATCCACCTACAACATTAAATTCAATTAAGAAAGTGGATTGCCAAGACTGATGCAATAGAGGAGGATCTGTATTCTGCAATGTTGAGAGTAAAGCAACTCACAGCAGCGAGCTAGCCAGCTAAGGTAAACAAAATCATTCTTTATCTTCTCACTCTGGATCAAAAGGAACACCTGCAGGAAGAAGGAAAAGAAAAGATTATACATGCATGTACTTTTAAACAAACAGAAGGCAGACCTGCCTCGTTTCAACATGCAGCTAAGGCTTAAGCCACACAAAAAGTGCTTCATGAGGAGAGTTAGGGTATGTAAGTGCAGTGCAGGGGCAACTCTCTGTGTTGAGTAGGTGGAGGATTCAAAACAGTGCCATGCTAATCAAGGGACTTCTGCAGCTGCAGAAAGCCAAGCTCTGCAGAGGGTGCGGCCTGCTCTGAACAAGTGCCAGTGGGCGGCCATGCAACACAAACAGCACAAAGGAACATTGGGCCTGTGGGAAAAGCTATTTGGAATGTGTTTGTTTAGAAAGCAATGCAAGCAATTACATTAGCATCTTCTTGAAATACCAGAAGTTTCACATATAGACGAGCCTTTCCTCCCCATACACATCAGAGATCATTCCAGGTCAGCAATACACCATTTCTACCCATTTTTGTTTCAGTAAGGTTCCAAGGCAAAACATTTGTCTTTTGTGACACAGTGTACAAATACAGGTTTATTACATTCTACATCTTAAGGGATGCATGGGGGAAGTTATAAATTTTAAAATGTACTCTGGCTTTACTCACTATTTATGCCTCTCTGCATATATATTTAACTATACTAGAATGCTACTGGAAAAAGTCAAAATACCTTTATAGGAGCAGATGTACATACTGGAACAGTGAGTTCCACAAATTACTGACATTTTAATCAGTTAAACATTGCTAAAAACACCCTAATTTTGGGGGTAGGAAATAAAAAAAAAAAAAATCAGCATTATCCATATAAGTAGCACTTTATCATAGGTTTTATTTCATGATGTCCAGGGAGGTAAGCTTTTTATTAAGTGCTATATGTGGAGATATTTTACAAATTTATGAGAGAGTGGGGAAGGGTGATCTCTATATGAAAGTGTCATCACAGGCAAAGATCAGACATTGGGACAGACTAATCAATTTAATTACATAATCCTGTTATTTAAATGCATCAGCTACGTAACATAAGTTTATACATAATAATTTGTAAGAACATAAGAGGAAAAATGTGGATTAACAGCAGTTTACACCTTTGTGTTTCTTTGTTGCCTGGCTGCAGCTAAAGCTTACTTATAGCACTACCATTTTTATTAGCATAGCCTGCTAGCATAGTTTTAAGACACTCACCTTCATTTTCATTTAGCTAACTAAATTAAGGTGGATAAATTGAAACATATATCCATTTTGCCTAACAGTCTTGGATATTTTTCTTAAAGAGTGATGCAATTTCAGGTCACAGAAATTAAGGGGGTGCGTGCTGGGGAAAAAAAACCAAACCAAACCAAAAACGCTTCAGGGGAGCTCTGTTTGTCAAGAAACCTGAAGAGTTAAAAAGTTAGAAAGACAGGATAAACAAAAAAAAAACCCCAAAACCCCAAACCAACCAAGCCTATATGATTCACTTTAGACTAGGAGGTGGGGTTTGTTGTGGTGGTTGTTGGTTTCTTTTGTTTTGTTTTGTTTTTCTTTCCTTAGCTTGTCTTCTTTCTGGTCTTGTGGAAAATGTTGCTTCCATTTTCATAATAGCTATTTGCTTTTGCATATTTTAGTTGCAATTAAGTTTCTACTGCACATAGACACAAAAAATTGCTGTGTGTAGAAGTTAATCTCTTCCAGCTGCATCTGGATGCTGCTGAATAAGATAGTGAGCACTTCCTCTTTTCCTCTCACATCTCCCAGCGGAAGAAATTTTTTTTTTTTTAAACACCAATTTCTAGGGACACCGAGAAGCTCTTAACTATTCAGTCAGTGTCTTTTACTCAGCATGCCCTAGTCTGCCTGAACAACAAGACTGCTTGGGATCCCAGACAAAGCATAGGAAATCTGATTAAGAGGGCATTCTTTGATCAATTAGAGATAGCTGCAAGCACTCTTGTTATGCACCACAAGCAGCATGACTCCCCATATACCTCACATTACAAGATTAGCAAGATAATATTTTCTGAATAGTGTTTACTGAGAGTTTCAGTTACTCTAAGAAGGGGAAGATGATGTTTCAGCCAACCTGCTTATTTTCAGCCAACATGAAGATATGGAGGCAGACAAGGAAGGAAAGGGGAGTATGCAGGAAATGTTTTACTGTTTTTTTTTAAGGGAAGTAAATAGATACCTCTTCAGCCTCACTAAAATTGCCCGTGGCAGCTTTGGCTTGGGCGTAGTTGAAGTTAAAAGTGTCATCGTTGTAGAAGTAACTCTGTAAAATAAGCCACACAGACAAAACTCAAATAAATAAAACACAAAACCTCCTCCTACGGTATAATAACATTAAAAATACACCCTCCACCCCCTGCAAAAAAAAAAAAAAAAAAAAAAAAAAATCTGAGTCAGACTATATCAAGACAATGGGAATGAAAAAGAAAAACCCACATTATGAACATACGGCATTTAGAAACAGTGGGTAGAAAATTATGGACTGGCTTTCCATCCTACATTCATGACTACAAACCAGCTGGGACATTCCACAGTATTAACCATGAGAGATCTGGAGAATGCTCCAAGTTAAAAATTGCAGTGGCAGCTTTTATAGATGTAATTTTCACTTTGGGCATGTGAAGACATGCTGTGCTGCCATGGCCTCATTCACCTCCCAAACATTTATTTCACCACTAGGGTGGTAAATAGGCAATTGACACCCTAATGGCTTAAGGAGATGAACAGTTTGTTTTTCTAAGACTTCTCAAGGTTCAACAAGGGATCCTGTGGATCTGGTTATGTGACAAATACTAGTCTGACACTCTGGATCACATGATGGAGGTGGAGCTACAGTACCAGACTCTAACCAGGCAGCAAACCATGTAATAGGACTTCCTTAAGCTCAAGCCTTGCTTACAGGTACCCTTCTACCTGTATGAAATGCAACACTAAGTTTTTATCTCCCATAATATTAGACTGGACACACCTGGTTGATGACAGATCAGGTTGATCTAGCTGTGTCTTTTCTGAAAAGCTGCATAGGCCAAAGCAGGAAATATAACTCTAGGTACAGATTAGCCTGATGTTTGTGTTTGACCCAAATAGCTTATATTTGATCATGGTCAGATGTCCAGATTGAAGTATAACTCAGATGACAAAAAGTCAGCTGAGTATCTTCTATAAAGATACATTCAGCACTGTCCCACATTGCTGCACTGACAGACCTGTAAGAGGTAAGGTGGAACACGTTTACCACAGCTACAAGTGTGAATGGGACTGAGCTTGTGAAAGAGCATGGGAAAAAAGCAGAGTGGTTTATCCACTATATTTACTGCAAGAAAAGCCTTCCTGTGTGCATAACAGCAAAGGCTGTGGAAGAGAAACATTTTTCCTTATATAACATCTGTAAGAGAAACAGAACTTGTGTAGTAAGACCAATCTTTTGTTTTGTTCCCTCATTAAAGAGCAAGGAGGAGGTAAAAAGCACAATTGTGACTGTACAAAAGATATAGGAAGCAAGGGACAAAACCCTTTCCCAGTGCTCCCTATCATCTTTCATTATGCAGGGATATTTGAGGAACCTCTCCCCTTCCCTGTCGCAGGTTGTCAACAAAGGGTACTGACTCAGTCCTCCCACATCAAGCCAGTGCCTGGAAAGGAGAGGTGGGGGGTGGTCACCATTTGCCAGATGTCTAGGTTTCACCCAAATAGTCTGTTAGGGTCCAAAAGAACCGGCAAATGTAGCAAGCTATGTGAAAGTGTCAGGATGAATCAATCGGATGAATCTAAAGCTCAGTTTGTGAAAACATTTCAGTACCCTAAGGGTGAACTAACTGGTTTCACCATATGAGAATTACAACACTCTACTATATTCTTCCTCAATGATAGTTTCGTGTGAGAATCAGCCCAAGTCCCTGCTTAAGCAAAGCTGGTGAGCAAGATGCTAGTTTTACAGCATGAATAGTTCCTTCTGTTCAAATAGCCCCTACTGTATTTTTGAATTAAAATGAAAAAGGAATTCTGTCAGAGATGAAACTCAAAAACTGTTTCATTCTATGCTGGTTGTATTAGTGCTAGAGACTAGACCTGCTGTAAAAACAAAACCAGTAAAAATGAACTAGTACTGGACTCCACTCTTTTGCAGTCTTTTTAGTGGTCTTCAATCTTTTCATAAAACTGTGCTCTGAGCCACGTCCATTTCAATTAGATGCTCAAATCTGCAGTTAAACAATGAACCATTCGTTGTGGCCAGAATTCAGCTGGGCCTGAATTAGCTTGTCTTCTCAGTTGATCCTCAGTGTTATAATGTCACCTTCAGGGCAGCTGGCAATACATGTATAATAAGGTGCCCTTTGAGACATTCTCATGCTTAAAGAAGTTTTAATCAATCACGGATGAAGGTGGTGTTTGAGAATATCATGCAAACAATCTTCACAGAGTGCACAGCTTCACTTAAAGAGCTGCAGAGATTCTACTGAAGTTGATTCCTGTGAGTGAAACACAAAGGTGACTGTAAAGCCACCTAAACCTTGCCTATAAAATGGTACAGGAAGAATTATTTGCATCCCTGTGACCTGAAGAGACGGGGAATGACCTGAGTAAATCTGAGCAGTGGCGAGTCTCAGATAGAAAATTACGAGTACCAAGGACCACACAAAAGAAACTCGTGGTAGGCAGAAAACTTTGTCCCTTGCTATATTTATCAACTGCATTATGTCTCAAAGTACCAGTATTTATGATTCCCTTCAAGAATTTAACAAATGCATATTTTACTTAAGCTTGATCACTTCGCAACTTGCTAGACACAATCTATAAAAACCTTCCAAACTTGCAACTTCAACCCTACCTTGAACTACGAAAATGAGTTCCATAAACCAACTGTGTTTTGAGAAGGACAAAATGCATTTTCTTAGAAAAGACATGGTGAAGTTGCTGCAATTCCAGCAAGCCATATCTTGTTTTCAGTCTCTCCTAAAAGAAATGAAGTTTGAAATCTACCTGGTTTATTCTAATCCTCACTTTGTATAATTTTATTTTCTTAACTTCTCTCTATACCAAATAATATCTATCTTTTAAACTTCTTAATACAATATTTCAATTTCTAATTCTCTGAATTACATTTCTTTCCAGAGTTGAGGGCCCAGTATTTCAAATAAGAGTATACCACTGTGCAACAAAATGCATCAATCTTTTTTTATATTGGATTTTCTTTACTTAGCATAGTATTTTATTTCATCCTTATAAATGCAGTCACATTACAAATGTGAAAACTGAGGGAATGTTTAAAAAAAAAAATCTTTGCCTAAATACGGGTCAAATCAAAACAGAAATATGGTTACTGATGACAAAGGCATGTATATGTGAAGTCCAGCTTGCAAGCTGAGATCCACATATATTTATTATAATGTGCAACAGTAGTTCTACATACTTTCAGCAAAGTAGCCAAGTTTTTAAAACAAAACAAAACATCCAAACAAGCAGTCAAATAACGCTTCTCCCCCATACATACACATAATAAAATATTTTCTCCCAAATCTGACAAGGTAAGAAGGCTCCTTCTTCTAGTTAATAAATATAGCAGGATTGAAAGCTTGCATAACTGTACCTGTCATTATTTCTGCCTCCCTCCTGACAGTTTTTTAAACATGACATTTATCCCTCACCTGTATTTCCCTCTGCATGGTCTCTTACATCTTACAAAATAACACTGATAAATCTGTGCTCTTCATTTTCCCTTTAGATTTTCTTTGCAACCCTTGTTACAACACTTTCCTTTGTACCCTCATGGATACAGAATTGTCTCACTTAATCCCCTCTCTGTAGTGCTTCTCTTACCTGTTGAATCCGACCTATCTGCTGATCACCCTGTTGCCCGCTTTCACCCTCTTAATTTCTGTTTAGTGTCTTGTTCACTTC